CTAGTAACACATTGTAACTAGTAGGAGCATCTATTACAAAGAAGACTGTGGTCCTAGTAGTTGTCCCTATAGTTATGTCCAATGGCATAACTCCTTTAACTGCAGTTGCTCCTCCATTGAAACTTGTAAGGATGACTTCTGTTGGAATCATATTTCCTTCTGTCTTTGCAAATTTCCTCATCATCCTAGATGGAATGGTATTTATAGCTGCTCCATTATCGACAAGCACTTTTGCCACAGGTATGCCGTTAACTAGAGCTTTAACGTACAATGGCCTCAAGTGTTTAGTCAATTTCATGGCTGGCCGCTTAAAAATAACCTTTTCGACAACCTCTATTTCTACTTCCTGCTTGTCCTCTGTCGTGTTATCCTTTTGTGATAAGTCAACGTAAAACATATCGCACTGAGCCTCTGTCTCCTGAATTTCCTTTTTACTGTTTTCTAATGCTTCATCTTCAGTTACCCAACCTATGGGAGGAGGCATTATTCTTGGAGGTGATACATACTTTTCAGAGCGAGGCACTCTCTTCTTCCTTTTGGGCGTTCCGTACAGTACGTAAAAATCGAAAGGACGCCCAGATGGTTCTCCCAATAAGTCTACTTCACGAATCCCCTCTCGATGTAGTTGTTTCAACAGAGTATTGTACGATAATCCTCTTCTTCTTCTTTCTGCTTCCAGATTGATTTCCTCTTCAATGTCTGTCATACCATCATCTTCCTCATCATTGTAGGTCTCTCTAGAAGTCTGGTCTTCCTCATATTCCAGCACACATGCTTCTCCTTCGTTATCCTCTCTTTCTTCTTCTTCTTTCTCTTTATTCTTGAACTCATTGGCTAGTAAATAGTTATTAGCCACAATAGGAGGTAACGTACCGAACTGAATAGTAAGGGGCTGATCTGGATCTTCTCCATCCCTTCTGTCTCGTTCAAACTTCGATCTCCCAGAAGAAGTTTCTGGCAACTCTTTCATTAATTCATCTGTATCAGTCTCTTCACTGTCTTTGAGAACATTTTGATTGGCTACCTCGAGTAGTTTAGGCGCCTTAGGATGTGGTACTCCCTGTTGTTGCCTCATCATTCATCCATAATTTTGTTGAAAACGCCCCTGTTGGGTTCGAGTCATCTCGTTGAAGGGTATCGCCTTTCCTGCATTATACTGGAAGGAATGCCATACATTTGGTTGGCGAGGTTGCGGCTTGAATGTTTTCCTATTATTTATTGGCCTGAACTGGCTCTCAAAAGGCGATCCCTTATAGAACGATGTACCTTGCCTTCTACCATGCTGAGCGTTTGGGAAGAAAGTAGGGTGATGTGGATGCTGCCATATCCCTGGTTTCTCCGTATTCCCACTCACTTCTCTTTTACATTTTGCACACAAGACATCTTCATCCTTTTTTGGCTCCTTCCTTTTAATACGCTCAAAGACACTGGGATGTGGTCTAGGGTCTTCTTCTCCATCATCTATAACCAACTTGAATTTTGACAACTTGTTTTTGAAACCAGACGTCACCATATTCACTTCAAGTGGCTGTGGAAAAGGATTTTCATCCACTGCCATTTTCTTCTTATCATCGAATGTAATTCGTCCTGATTCAATGATATCCTGTAACACATGACAAAAAACCAAACAATTGTTAGTTAAATGTGGCCATGTATTATGCCACTTACAATATTTTTTACCCTTAATTTGTTCAGGGCTTGGCAATTTTTACTTATCGCTCAGCTGTATCTGCTTATCCTTATATAATTTATCAAATATAAGGTCAGCTTTGGTTATATCGAACGAAAACGTTCTAACTTTTATGTTTTCATCTTTCATAGGCTCATATTTGCCCGATGGTCTAAGCTTAGCCATTATAGGACAAGTATACGTGTCTCCTTTGACTAATTCGGCCAAACACATTTCGGCCTGATTGTATGACTCGTTATTGATGGTATGAATATCAAAATTTGGGTCTCTATAATAAGTCCCCTTGCTAGAATTTTTTATCTGCACTTTTTCTCTTATCAATCGTTCATACCTAATCACGTTCGCGCTCAATTGGAAAAGGTCAGGAAATTCCATGTCTTGGAATTTCTTTTTCAAATCAAAACTCAAACAACCTTGAGCAATTTTGACAAACTCTTTTTTGGGCAGAGATAAAAAAACATTTACTTCTTGCTATCTTGAACCTTTGGAGGAAACTTTCTGCCCATTCATTTGGCATTTGATGTAGATTCGCCAAATCGGCCAAAGTAACTTCAGACTTAATCTTATAAAATTGAGCGTGGAATAATTGTTCCAATTGTTGCCATGTTTAAATAGAGTTCGCTGGTAAGTTGATGAACCAGGAGAAAGCTACTCCTGTTAATGAACTAGGGAAAAGCCTCATTTTATGATAATCAGTTACGTCACCACTTTGCAGTGTGAATCGCCCTATGTATTCTAGAGTAGACACCTCCCCTAAACCAGTAAACAGTGAGAATTCTGGCTCTTTATATTCTCTAGGCCATGGATATGCTTGATCTACCCAATCAGGATATGGCTTTGTGTAAGTCGGCCTAATGACAGGACGTACCCCAAAAGCCATCTGGTCCTATACGATTTTCATAATCTGATTCCTCAACATGACGTTGGGGTCATATGGAATCCCTACAAGTTGGTTGACCGGTTGATTTGCTTGAGGCCTAATGTTTGGTCCTTGATTAGGAACAAAGTTACCATGATTTGGGCCATTGTTACCATTAGCCTGAACATTTATTCCCTCATTAACACGTGGGGTATTCTGCTCATTATTTAGGACATTATCTCTTACATTTGGATTACCTCCCAAGTTAGATGTACCAATGCCACTATTCTGATTTGGTATTGCACCACTCCTCTGATTTGAAGTAGAGGGATCAAAAGGTAGTTCTACCCCTTGATTCAAACTTAGGACTGGAGGATTATGTCCCACAATTATCCTAGTTTGAAAGTGATTTGTAAGAGGCACGATTGGCTGACAAATTTGGCCTACTAACTTATTCATTATTTCGTTCAAAGTATTCAGTTGTTTGGCCATGTTATCATAATGTGCATTCCCATTCTGGGTAAATTTTTCCATATTATGAATATTTCGAAGATTTACTTATACAACGACATCTTGTATGAGTTCCCCAAGTAATGCACGCATAGTTCGAGGACTCAACTCTGCCATTGATTCTTAATGACTGTTACTGCTCTGATTCTGTCCATCTGTTCGTGGAGAGCTATGCTGCTCCTCATATCGCTCGATCACAGACTGGACTCCTCCCTGACTTGCTGCTTCCTTATCGGATCTCTGAGGCATATTGTTTCATCTTTTGTATCTTCAACACCAAACACCACTGTCCCACTGGGCGCGCCAAATTGTTTCGCACGGGTTAGTCGCTAACAATTAAAAAGGGATCAGACGATTGTGTAAGTGACAAACCTCTTGAGACAAAGTCCCAAGAGGGGGTGTTTTTATTGGCGATGACTTTACAATTGGAAAATAAAATAGAATGCCACCAAGGGACGCAAGCACACGAGTTACTGAAAATAAGTGTTTAAATCTAAACTAGGAAATTGAAAGTTACATATTCTCTGTTTGAGAGTATTTGATTCGAGGCCCTTTGCTCTATATCTTTTCTTCATTTTATTCTCCCTGGATGATCTCTTCGTGATCAACCGCTTAAAAACTGCTTGATCGCTCTATAACTGTCCACTTTCTTCATAGTGGCCAACTTGTCATGGAACTGCCTTCTCTAACTGCGGCCATTACTTTTGTCGTTCAACCGTCTTCAATTGAATTCCTTGAATCGTGGAACGTGATAGGGCTACTCAATAACTGCTTCATTAACCGCACTTTTGGGTAACCATGACATCTTATGTTTGCTAAGATCCTGGGCGACTCGAAGGTTTGGGCGAGAACAGGGTCACAGCTTTGGACGACTGTATGGCAATCCATTCGCTTAAATCTTGGGCAATCCATTCGCTCAAATTTTGGGTGACTTGTAAGTTTGGACGATGGTATTACCGTGTTCATGGGCTTCCCTATTTGGGCCTTTATCCTGAATTGCCTGATTGTGCCGTTCTTTGGGCTATCTGATTTGAGGATTCTCCAATTGGACTTCATTCCTTGGACTATTCGATTTGGGCTGAACTTTTTGTGTATCAACAACAATATAACCACCCTTATATCACTACTATATTAAAAGAGTGGGTTTGTTCTGGCACTGTTCATAGGGTTGTGCGCCTGCCCTTTTTTTGTTTTTCTGACAACCCATTTCGTTTCTTTGACAACCCAATTTGACGGCTTGGTTCCTATAAAATTGTATGAATTTACTGTCTTCAATGTTTGCATGTGAAATGTTTAATTTCTTGAATAAAGTTGGTTGTACAGGGCACAGAGGCCTATTTCCTTAGCTGCAATGTCATCTAAGAAAATATTTTGCCCTTATTGGGTCCATATTAATTTTGATTATAATGGTGAAATGGTATTTTTAAAAATGGATAGTTGTAAAAGAATAAAAAGTTTTCGATTTATGTGTAATATTATTTTATTAAAAATTATGTGATTAAAAATAGGGTCGAGAAAAATTTAATTTAATTTGATGAGATGTAATGGGGCAAACTTTGTCTTTCGTTTAGACCACGTTTGAGAGTAATTTTTCACCTCAAAAAATTGATTTTTTGACTGTTATTTCACTATTCTAATCGTAATTTTTTATTTCTTTTCTCATAAGTAGTCCCACTTTTTTACTAACGATCAAAAAATCAATTATCAAAATTACTCCGAACAGGCCTTAGTATCCCATTCTCATTTCTCTCATGCACAAACTCTAATATTTTCTTCTGACATCAAAGTTTCCAAAATTTTACTTCTAATACACAACCCATTTTTGTTCTCATGCAAAAATCGAATCATGTTTTCCCGTTCGAAAGGCTTAACTCAACTATTGGTGTTCCTCTATTTTTCTTTGACTTTTGGTGGTGGTTTAAAGTTGGGATGGAGGTGGAATTTACGGATCAAAGGTGGTGGAGAAGGGGCTAGAGAGAGTCAACATTCTTGATTGAAGGGTTGGGGTTTATGAAATTGACCTCCTAGTGTATGTTCATGCAAAGGATGTCAAAATCTTCCGCATTCATAATATCCTTTGTATATCTCCAATCGTACGTATGCTTCAATCCTTTGCTCAATTCGATGTTTCAAATTCTTTGAATTGATTTTGTGAATAGGTGAAAGATCGGACTTTTTTCTCATTTTCGTTTAGTTCTTCTTCTTTGTTGTTCAATGTGTTTGTGCTCTTCGAGATACGAACTGGTAATTTTCCTTCTTTGCTGGGAATTTTTTAAGTAGATTTCGGTTCTATTTTTTTCTTAGTTTGATTTTGCTGTAGATTCTGGTGGTTTTTGTTTTTTTTTTCCTTAAAAAAATTCTTCGATTAATTTATTTTGAATTTGAAAGTTATTTTGTACCCCCAATTATTTTGTTTACTGCCTTTTCTGATTAGCTCAAAATTTGGAATTTTTTATTTCTTACTTTGTTCTAAACATTGTCATTGTTTTGTTCTGATGGTTTTGTGTTTGATGATGTTTCTTTAGTCATTTGCAAGGGATGTTCACAAGGTTATCAGACTTTTAGAAGCTGGGATAAAGTAAGTGTAACTTATTCTTTTACCTTCTTACAGTTGTTCCTATTATAACTCTGTCTGAGTGAAATATGTCTTCTTTTTTCTGAATATGCACTGGCCTTTGTATATTAGCTGTATTTTTTAAAGGAAGCCTCCTGATTAAGAGCTTGCAAAATGGTAATATTATCTTTCTTCTCTACTAATTGTTTACATTATACTCCATATTAAAATTTTCTTGATTCTTGCTAATTGTGATTCTTTGTTATGCTTTCTGAATGCAATATTTTCACAGTATATGAATGTTGTATTGTCATTGTAACATCCAAATTTCTTGAAAATGGCTTAAGTGTTATTAAATCAGAAAATAACATATCAATATATATATATATATATATATATATATATATAATGTCTTTCAAGATAAAATAAAAATAACATTTATTCTCAAAAGTAACTAAATAAAAAAAGAAAGAAATCTTCCGAGAATATGAATTCCCTTTTTATTAAAATTAGAACATTCCGCAACCACCGACCAATTTCCAGCTCCAAACTTCCGATCTCTAATTACTTGGAAGGGGGAAAAACTTAAAGGGTGAGATTTAAGAAAATCTCAATAAGTGTGTGCAGTGAATAAGTAATTTGTATTCAAATTAAGGAAAACATGATTTCATATCATACGTATAGGAGACACACGAACTACTCCGAACATAGGTGGTAGCAATTCATGTGCATAACGATACTAAACTCCGGCCCTCTTAGCATAACATATATGGCTCATAAAACGAATTCCAAAATTTTGAAGTACAAATTACAAATTCACATAAACCACATACACCATCACTTACCTCGTAATGGAATTTGATAAATAAGTGTGAAGTACTTGACTTTCCAAAAGTCTACTTGTGAAATTTTGTGTGTAGGACTAGTGATGGCAATAGACCGGGCCGAGCCGGCTCGGGCTCGTGGCGAGCCGATCTCATGGCTCGTGGAAGACGAGCCGAGCTCGAGTTCGGCTCGTTGCTCGGGGGTGAGCTCGGCTCGGCCCATGAGCTCATGAGCTCGCAGATCGAGCCGAGTGACTCGTGAGCTCGTGATTTTTTTAATTTTTTTTTGTAAATTGCACGTTTTGGACATTTTAAAAAAAAAATTAAAATTTTTTGACGAGCCCACGAGCTCAGCTTGTGGATTTGAAGCCTTGCTGGGCTCGGGCTCGTCAAATGACGAGCCTGAGCTGTCCACGAGCCGGGTTTTGACGAGCCGAGCGACCGAGCCGACAAGCTCAAGCCAGAGCCGAGTTTTGACAAGCCGAGCCAACGAGCCGCTCGTCCCGTTTGACATCCCTATGTAGGACAAAGACTTGTATGTGAGAGAAAGGTGAGAGACGTGAATTTGTGTGTGTGGAAATAATAAAATATTGTCATGGATTAAAAATGAAATCTTTCCTTAATTTGCTCCATATTTATGGTATTTACAATTATTGAATTCTTGTGTGTAAGACCAATGAAGTGACTTGTGTGTGAGAGAAAGGTGTTTGCCGTGGAATCTTTCCTTGTGTGAGAATGGAAATTTTCTTTATTTATTCCATATTTATGGTAATTATCATTATTCTTACTATAATTTGGCACACTTAACATATTTAGCCCCTATTTGGCCCCCATTACGTGGAAAAATTAATGGGTGAAATAGTATTTTTTTTGAAAAATAAGTGGTTGAAAAAGAATAAAATTTTTTCGATTTACGTATAATATTATTTTATGGAAGATTGTGTGGTTGAAAAATGAAATGTAATGGAATGAAAATTAATGGGGCTCAAACAGGGGCATACATGCATGTAATTATGGTAATTACCTAAATAAATTTTAGTTATACATGGTAATTATATAATCTACTTCATTATTCCAAAAACAAAATGATTTTCTAATTAAGCATGTCCTTAATTATGAATAGTCCACGATTTGATCCCTAAATCATGTAAACAAAACAATTTAGTCCTTCGATATTTAACTTCTCATTAATAGGTCCAAATTTCTAATATTAATGACTATAACGAATTTTCGGGGTGTTAGAGTCATTGCAGGCTAAAAATAGGAAGGATATTGAGAAAGTCAGTAACATGACAGTTAAGAGAGGTTTATCGATTTCTTTTCATTAACTTCCTTATAGATTGTTAATCTCCCTTAAACATAAATATTGGCAAACTTTTAATACACTTTCCACGACTTATCTCATTGTTGAATGCATGTAATGTTCATACTTCACTAGTGGCTTTTACAAACTGAGAAACAATAGAGAAAAATTGAAAAGTAAAATGTCACAAATTATTAAAAATAAAGACCCTGTCATTGTTCAGAAGAACTCTCTTTTCCAGTAATTAATATTTTTCAATTAAAGCTTTGATTGAAGAAATTTTCTCAGTTAGCTGCATTTTAGTTTCACATAAGAATCTGGAAACAATTTTACCTGTAAAGAAAAGATAAAACGTGAGTTTCTCGTGGAAAGGCCTTGTATAGACCCACGTATTTCTAAGATAAGCTTTCTAAATCTCTTTATCTTATATTGGAGCAAAAACTAAAGGTATCTGAAATTTTGATGAAGCGGGTGGCATCTATAATCAGGACCAGGTTCAAGTTAGTGAGTTTTACTTCTAAGATCTCTGCATGATTCATAGAAATTAAAAAAATTTGACTCGATCTAATTTGTCTTGTAATGCTAGAGTATATTATGTAATATGCCCTATGCATGCGACACATTTAATTGCTTTGACTTTCCCTTCTTGGTTATGTCAATATGCTTTCTGGTTATGCAGGTGACAAAAGCAACATGATGTTGACGATGAATAACTTCTTAAGACTTATGGGAGCACCTGTGACTGAGGTGATTAAACTACTTTGTACAAATATCAAATGATATCATATATGCAGCTATTTATGTTTAACTTCTGGTAATTTGTATCCAATGTTTGACAGGAAGAGTGACTCCAAAAAGTATAATTTATAGCTTTGAACCCATGCCAAGTAAGATTGGAATTCATTAAGAAGTCTTCAATTTTGTTTACGAAATAACTACATATTCCCTAAAAATTTAACTTGCTGTTAGCATGTGCTTTTGCTTCAATTTTTCGCTGAGTGTTAAACTCTTACTCTAGCATCTTGCTTGGATAACTTTAGAAATGAACTAAAATCTTACACTAAAATGCTTTTTGGATAAAAATTTTAAACTTTATGCCTTTTGCATTCTCTCAGTGATAAAACTACATATTTGAATTTGGAGTTGGTTTTGTTGTTACGATACTATTGTTTTCAACTGACAAAAATTATCCCCGTTTGATGGCCACTATTTGGAGTTGGTTATGTTGTTACAGTACTATTGTTTTCAACTGACAAAAATAGCCCCTATTTGATGGCCATTATTTTGAGAAAATAGAATTTTGAATAGTGATTTTTTTGAATAATGTATAGTTGAAAAGTGGAGAAACATTTTGAGTTTACGTACAAAATATTGTATTGTGTAAATATAGGGTTGAAATGAGTACGAGAATTAAAGATTTTTGAAATAATGGATGTTAATCCCGCGAGGGGGGGGGGGGGGGGGGGGGGGGGGGAGGGTAATTTTTTTTTTTTTAAATAATCACCCACCCCACCCCCCACCTAGCATGTGAGGGACTTGTATAGCAGGCAATTTCCTATACATATACACACACATACGGTTGTTGCAACATAAATTTTGATTAGTTTCTTCCACTAATCCACTAATGAATTTGTGAGGATCTAAAATTTGACCTATGCCTCTCGATATACTTTTAGGCTCTTTATCTCATTCAAGGCAAAAAATAAAAAATAAAAAATAAAAGAATCTGATGCTTAAAGATTCTTGTTTGGAGGGTCATTTTTTCAAATGATGAGGGAACTGAGTTGGTTTGATTAGCAACCCATTGTTTACAATATGAAGCACGATAAAGGCCATATGCTAAGATTCTTGTCACTTTACTAATGTCTATTAAGAAAGAAACTGATGTATGAACAAATCAAAGAAACCACTCTCTTGTGGCTTTAGTGCTTGCAATTGTGCAGATAATGAATAGTATAGTCAGGTATTAGGTTACTAATCTTGTCGAGAGCTCTATGGGGGTCTTGGCACCATAGCTCAAAGTGATAGGACCAGATAGGTAATGGTTGACAGTGGGCCTCTTCCGATATCTGATTTTTCTTTACAAGCTATTTGCTTGAAAATGATCAACCATGAGGTTCGCTATCCCAATATTCTCCTTCCCAATTTTAGTTTACATGTTTCAGGCTCTAACAATCTAGAATTCCTGCCAAGTGAAGTTTTAATGACTGGAAAGATGAGATGGAAAGGAACTTCCATCTTACGTGGTTAAGATTTCATTTTAACATTTTCCTCATATCTGTCCACGTCATTTGCACGTAGGAACAATAATGTAGCTTTTCATTCATTTCACTTCACAGTAGTCATCATCTATGAGTATGTGTTCATTTCCTACAGGCAAATGTCTCGTATAACATGTTGTCCGAGTTTCTCTAATGTCTTCCTGACCTTATTCATAATTTTTTATTTTCCCCATCATTTTCTAATGAAATGTGGTCATACTTGACATCTAATGGTAGACATTGCTTTGTTGTAGAAATTTGTTGGGTCAACTAGATCTCAAGGCTATATTGCAATTGGCTAGGAAACAACGTTTGAGCATGGAGAAGTGTACATTTTGGACGATGGAGGAGAGGTTAAAAAAGCATCCTTCAATTAAGCTTTGTTTGCTTAGATTTAAATATTTGTTTTCACTTGAATTTAGTTTTATTGTTGTTTTAATTCCGTCATTACGATGTGATCCATGGTACTAGACTATCTTATGAAAATTCCTGCAATTTTCATGTTTTTTCAATAGCATGTAGTCTTTATCTGCAAATTTTGATGTGAAATCTTGACTGAAGTGGAGGTTAAAATTTGAATATTCGTTGTACACCAAATAAATATGACTTTACTCCAATTTTTGAAGTTGGACCTGAACCATGAAAACTACGAGCATTTTCTAGATATAAAATTGACTCGCAACAATAATATTACTGGAAAAATTTACTAGGCAAGTTCTTGGTTTATTTTAACTATTTTTAGAGAAAATCTAATCCATGTCTGCTATGTTGATATTCTTAACGAATTAGCATATTTTAATTTTCTAGGAACAAGTCCATCAAATTGATGTAATTAGTACTTAACACATATAATTTTGTTTTTTTTTTTTATATTTATCGCTATTTCGTAGTCAACTACATTATGACACGTGCGTCGAACTGGTATAGTAAAAAGAGACCAATGTTGTCCTTTAATACTACTTTTTCTTCTTCTTCTTTTTTTAATATATTTTGTGGAGAGTTTGAAAAGTTGTCTCAAATAATAACATATCAACAATATTATTGATTGACAATCAGACTATTTAATGTGTAAGAATTGAAGAATAATTTTAATTCAGACATAACATTTTGAAATTTAAAAAAAAAATTACTTAAAGAAACATTTAAAATTGTGTCGTGACATCAAAAAACAATGAATATTTCTAAGCATTTCATAAAATTAACTTTATGTTTTCAAAATTTTCTAACCTGGATAGAATTTTGATTGAATTATAATTGATTTTGACCTTCGAGATAGAGTAAGAATTGATAAGTTTTTAAAAAGAGGGGGACTATTTATCTAAAATATTTTTAAAGGCTATTTTCGATCACGTACTAACTACAAAGGCCTTTTATAAAATTCGCCTAATATATATGCACAAATAAAATTACAACAATAACTATTGAATTATGGCGCACGGAGGCTACGGCAAGCGCAGAGTTTCCGACCGCCAAGCGGCAGGCGGACGGCGGCCGAAATCCCTAGCCGTCGACAAGAAGCCCAAACCCAAAGCGAAGGCCGTCTCTCTCAAAAACCAAATCCGATCTATTGAACGCATGCTCCGCAAAGTGCTTACTACCTCCTTAACTTTACCAATTACACCCATATAAAATGCACATGACTGTATATGTGCTAGTTTGTGTTATTTTATCTATGTATTGGCTGTATGGAAAATTTGATGTTCAATTTATGTATGTAGAAGTGGCTGTTTCCTGTTGTGTTTATGGATGTGCAAGTGGGGAAGTTTAGCTTGCAACTTATATTTTCTTTAGCTGCTTAATTAGGTTGAAAATAAATTGCATCTATGGTTTTTTATTATTTATTTATTTTTTAAAAATTGCATTGGATATGGGTTAAAATTGAATAAACTTCTTTTAAAATTGGTAATAAACAATTGGAGTTTTTTGTGTCCGCGGCAATACCCATTTTCCTAATAACTACCTATTAGCTTCTGGAGCTATTTATTAGATTCAGTATGCATAAAATCGAGAGAAGTAGTAGTTTTAAGTTAGTTTTATATGTGAAAACGAAGGACAAAATAAACGAAGAACACTTAAAAGTGGTTCCTGACAAGGCATGTGATGTTGTTCCTGGACGCTCATAGGTGCAAAGGATGTTATTAGATATTTAAAAAGTGATCATGGAACTTCCCTCTTATATGATTAACTTATCAAAAATAATATGGATTACTTTTAATTGGTGTTTTCCTTTCAAATACAATAGAGTTTGATCTCGTTCTTTGTTGCAACATTAATTCTGTGTTTATAGGAATGGCAGCATAATGAAGTTGGATCTTTTTGGGAATTCATAATTCTCAAAGAGGTTCATTGTATTATATTTTGTATTGACTGTTGATTCAAATTTTGTGTTTGAGATCAACATTTAAGCTGTTAAAAAGGAATTCTTTCTATTCATCTTTTGTTTGCAAAAGGAATAGAACTAAATTTTTACATCAAAAGTACCTGTAATTGTTGGCCACCATCCTGATTACAGTTTTAGTGTTTGTCTCTTATCCCTCTTAACTTTCTTGATCTCCTTTTCCCTCTTATTTTCATTTCCAGATTATAAAAAGTTCTTGTTATATTATCTATGAAACATGTTTACTTTCTTGAACTGGGTTGGTTTTTGTATAGTCCTTCCAATAGATTTTGCTCTTAATCTTAGGTTGTATCAGTTGCTTGGAACTGTTATTGATTTTTCAATGCACAACATCATTCATTGATACTAACCTAACATGCAGGATTTGCCACCTGAAGTCAAAGAAGCCCAAGAGAAGAAGCTAGAAGAACTCAAAAAACAACAAGAGATTCACAACCAGCTGGCAGTGGAGCGTAAAATATTCTTGCGTAACAGAAAGATAAAATTTTTTGGTAACTAGTAGCTCTATTAGGATTATTTTGTATGTTTTATGTTCATGTGTACTTGGTACTCTCCACATGTTGATGATTGATGAGACTGCAAGTTTAAATTTGCATGGCTAGAGAGAAGAAAGATTGAGCGAAGGATAAGACGTTTGGAAAAACAGCAGCGTGCTTCATCTGGTCAGGTCCAAGAGACAGAGATTACCCAGCAACTTTCTAAATTGAAAGAAGATCTTGAATATGTTAGGGTAAGCTGCGAACCATATTGCGGTCTGCACTTAATGCACTTGTTTTCAGTTTTTAGTATGCAGTCCATCCGTTTTAGTTTTTAGTATGGAGTCCATTAAAGCTTGAACATGCATGGCCGTTTAAAATTTTTGCATACGTATTGATGATGCCAATATATAAACTGTGAGAGGCATAATTTCATATGAGAATTTGTAGAAATTTAGGTTTAAGTAGACATTTGGTTAATTTCCGAATTATGTCTGCGTATTTAATTGCTGAAGAATGTTACTTGTAATTAATTGCAGTTCTTCCCGAAGACAGAGAAATATGTTTCATTATTTATGGGAGGTGATGATACTGAGGTTGTAGAGAAAAGAAATAAATTGCGCAGACAGATTAAGGATAATCTAATTAGTGCTGCAGCAAGTGGGAAGGATCTGGAAGGTACTCTCCTTTTTTCTTCTTATATCATTGATTCACCTTACTTCAGCTTGATTAATTTTATTGTTGGGACTATTTCTTTTAAGGCTGGACAAAACACCCCAACTGGACTGAATTGAACTAAGCGGTTTATCATTATTATTATTATTTATTTATTTATTTAAGTTAAATACCCGAACGAGTATTTGTATCGATAATTGACGAGTTTGGTTCAGTTCTCGATTTTGAATCAAGAACCGAATCTCCCTAATTTTGTAAATTTATTTATCTTAAATAAGTCAAATAATTTTGTTGTTTCTAAATAAATTTGTTAATTAATTAATTTAGCCCAAATTCAAAATATAATTTTCCTATTTCTAATTTTCAACTCAAGCCCAACTTAATCTAATTGACCTAAGTTTTACCCTAATTTATTATTCAGTCATAGTGCAATTTTTACAATTCTAAAGAAATTGAATTGGAAGTTCGGTTATGTCTCTCTTCATTATTGTGAGCTCGCTATCTTCAGGTTCTCGTGATTTCAACATTCGAATCTACGAAGAACTCAACAAAGCGAGGCACAAAAGATACATAAGATTGAACTACATTATTTTATAAGAATTAAAATGGAACATTTCATTAGTTGAATTAATATAGCGTTGTTTTAAAATTTAAAAAAATTAATTATTGTATAGAACCCAGGAATTGAGTGGAAACGAATTGAACCTAACCGAACGAATATAATCGAACTGAACTGTTCCATAATTAAATTTAGATATGATGGTTCCACTTTCTAAATATCAAAATATTTGGTTCAATTCAATTCTAAAGAGAACCGACTCGAACTGGACTATGTTCCCCTAATTTCTTTTCTTCATAAGAAATGCATTTTAGTCTAAACTCATTTACTCATGGAAGCTTATGGGACCATATGAAATTCTGTTGACTATTGAGTAACTCTAGAAGTGATGTCATAGGTTAACGATGTGATTCTTCCTTATGATTTGTAAAAGTTAACATGTGGGTTCCAAATAAGTTATCGAGAGTGAGAGTAAACATACAACCTAACAAATTTAACAGTTTCTAAATGAGCACTGAATTAAAGCACATTATGAAATATGACATAGAATAATGAGAAAGATAATAATAAGGAAATACTCCCTCCTGGCTTTGGCTCATTGCTACTTTGGCCTAAATGGATGAACATTCAATTTAACTAACTTAACAGGTTCTAAATGAGTACATCGAATCAAACCACAGTATTATATATAGCATAGAATAATGCGGGGAAAAATAGTAAGGATAATGGAAGTACTCCTTCCTGGCTTTTGCTCGGAGCTACTTGGGCCTGAATTGCTGAACACCTAGATTTTTCATACACAATATCTGCCCATTAAACTTATCCCTGTATCCATTGTTATAGTTATACTTTATGTATTTTGGATCCCTAAAGTTTCAAAAAACCAAGACATTTTCGTTGTTTAGTCATTTTGGAGATCATGTCACAGGATTGTGATTGGAACAGGTACACAGCATATAGACTTCTGCACCTGTTTTACAAGCACATACAATGAAATTGCTTGCTTGACGAATATGAACAATGTATCCATACTCGTGTAATTGTGTGTTTGGCATTTTACTTTGATTAGAAGATCAATCACCAAGTTCCCTTCCTTTATGTGGTAGTACTGTGGTGATTATATTGGATGGCAAAGGTGGCAGAAAAGTTGACAAGACTAGTGTGCAAGTACAATTTTAGTTTCCAAAAGCGCCCCTAAGTGTCAGACTGAGGGAGTGGTAGATAACAGGATAGGCAATAATCATCTAAAACCTGAATGAGCGTGAAGTGTTTGATAGTGATTCTCTCTTATCATTTTGAACTTGTTGGAAATTGGACGTACCTCGTAAGATATCAGAAATCACTTTGATCTTTTTATGTGAACTTAAGAAGGCATTTGTTAAGATTCATTGCATCTGGACACTTTTGCAATGCCTCTTCTTTTTCTTCCCAGACACTTCAATAATTCTCTCTTGTCGCAATCTGGAGAGTTGAAAATTGAGAGAGAGAGTTGATGAACCTCAGATATGGTAGCAAGAGGAAAAAGAATCAATGAAATAATATAAATGTGTTGAAATATGTGATAGAGGATATTGTGAGTTGCTCTTTTTCTTATCAATAGTACAGCATCCTCATGATTGTTAAAATTTTAGAGAATCCCTGCATATAGACTCAACTTTTGAGGCTGCCAGTTATGACAAATCTTATCTGAGGTTTCGAAATTGTTAGTCCTAATGGAGCTTTTTATCCACGAGGGAAAGAGTTTGTTCTGTCATTCACACACGACTTGTTATATTTCCTATTTTAGTGCCTTTTTCTTTTTCTTTTTGTTAAATGGTGGACTCTTATGTCTTTTTTTTGGACTCATGTAACAGAGACTGGGAGTGAGGATGATGGGCTCTTGGAACTAAGTGATGACGATTTCTTCTTAAATGGAAGCTCAAGTGATGATGCTGAAGCAGACGATGAGTGGACAGATAAAAGCACAAGGTACATATTGCAACTGTCAAGAGACATTTATAGTTTATTCCTGAATGCAACTGATCCCAGGGAAATGCCTCTCAGTATATCAAACTTAATATTGAGATATATTCTGTATTTTGCTAAGTTAAACGGTTATAAGTTCCTTTTTCTATTCAGTCAAAGTCAATCATTAATTTCAATAACACATTCATAAGTACTACCCATTTATCATCCAAATATAAAAGTTCCTGATAAGCTACCTGAACAGATGCATGGACACTTGACAGAATTTTCTCTCTCATTTTTACACTTTCCACTTGGTCTTCAGGGAACAGGCTTCTAGTGCCTCTGGTAAAGCTACATCCGGGATGTCCAGTGATGAAAGAACTCAGGTTTTAATTTAGTTTTCGTATTTTCTGCTCTAAGATTAGGCGTTTAATTGATAAACTTTCCATTTTAAATTTTTAACCTTCTCTTGATGTATCTATGCAGAAACAGATTTCTGCTCGTGCTCTGATGCCTCCTCCCGGACCATCTTTCAAGTCAGTTCCTACTTCACTTAAAGATAAAACTAAAGTAGGAGGATCTTCAAGTAAGAAGGCATACATACGTAAAGCTGATATATCAACGTCCAGTAACACGTCCAACAGCATCGGTAGAACTTCCTTCAGAAAGAGAGGTCCTGTGGAGTCAAACACAGGCAACAGTGGTAATTTAAGTTCCAACTCAGACGCTCGAAAACCCAGAAGAAAAAGGAGGCCGAAGAAGAAAAAGCAACAAGTGGTGTAGCTTTGACTGCAATATGTGACACTTAGTTGTGATGATGTTTCAATTGTTGTTGCCCTTTCTCTTTTTAACTTTTGCTCGGAATTTTAAGTTCCTCTTACGTTATTTGGTTATTTTTTAATATTCCGTAACCGAGCAACAATGTTGTTTTAAGTTACTTGTTATGTTTTTTAATTACCACTATGTTATGTTGAATCCTAAAAATTTATTTTACTCTGATTTTGCATACAGTTCCATCTTCTGTGCATTTGACTGGACTTCAGATAATTTGGTTTTGTTGTGTGAAATGGATTTATGTTGTTAACCTTAAAGTTATCAAATGAACATAAATTGGTTATATGTTGAAAACAGGAATTGAACTTGATGACATCAAGTTTTCAGTTGTTATTTAGTAGCAAAGTGGTAAAACATTTTGTTACTAATCAGTTGATCGGAGATTCAAATCATGAATTGAAATTTTGCCATTGGAAAGGTGGATAGAATTATAATAATAACATAAAAAAATGAAACTATTATCTATCACACGGCCTAGTGGGATCTTTATAGGTTCTCGTCGTAGTTTGCTGAAGTTGAAACATGTACACTAGATTTTTGTCTTTTGAACTTGTTGCTCCTTCAATACATATTAACAACATTGGCGTGTCACATTTCTCAGCAAATGGGAAGACGCTAATTATTATTATTATTATTATTTAGCAAATGAAAAGATGTCAAAGCGAAAAAACTCGTCCCGCCTCAAATGGGGAAAAAAAAGGGCCCCGAATGGGTTGGTGGGGGCATCCCCGCCCCGTGAAAGGAAAAAAAAAGAATAAAAATAATTTTATTTTTAGACAATTCACCCGTTAAAAACTCATTTTGAATTTATTTTTTATTCTTTAATAATAACATAATTCGAAATTTTGAAAATGTAAAAAAAAAAAAAATTAAACGGGGCAATGCCTCCGTCCCAACCAAGGCTGGCCATCGCGCCGCTCCACACCCCAAACTCGCCCCATTGCCATTCTTAATTATTAAGATCAGATGATATATTGAATATTGAAAAATAATAAAGAAACAACCAATTGAACGAGTTTAAGATTACAAAAACTCGCCTCATTGCCATCCCTAATTAATAAGATCAGATGATATATTGAATATTGAAAAATAATAAAGAAACAACCAATTGAACGAGTTTAAGATTACAAAAACTCGCCTCATTGCCATCCCTAATTAATAAAATCAGATGATATATTGAATATTAAAAAATAATAAAGAAACAGCGAATTGAACGAGTTCAAGATTACAAATCTCAACTCATACACCATTGCCTAGGAAATTTCATCCTAACATGCTAAATCAAACCTAGCACACAAAATCTAAGTCACCAGTTATGCTTAAATTATTAATTAATTTCACTTTTTCCCCCAAAAAAATCAGCTTTTATAACGCAGGGCTCCAAATGGTGCTTATCAATCAGTGTGATGTGACATTAAGATATAATTAAGATGGTAAATCAGTTAATACCATCTAAATATTATTATGTCACGGCTTATGCATAAAAATTGATTATTGAATAGTATTATTCAAATGGTAATCATCTCATATCAATTATGAATAATAGTTTTAAAAAATCAATGCCCACAGAGCTCAAAGATTTTCTTCACTGCTCAAAAAGATTCTCAAATATAAAAAAATAATGGTGCTTATCAATCAGTGTAATGTGACATTAAGATATAATTAAGATGGTAAATCAGTTAATACCATCTAAATATTATTATGTCACGGCTTATGCATAAAAATTGATTATTGAATAGTATTATTCAAATGGTAATCATCTCATATCAATTGTGAATAATAGTTTTAAAAAATCAATGCCCACAGAGCTCAAAGATTTTCTTCACTGCTCAAAAAGATTCTCAAATATAAAAAAATTATTAAGAGAATATCATGCCCACCAACTGGCTAGCATAATGATTTGGAATGACATTGGATGCTCTGTCTCAAAGTAATACTACTCACGTTAAAATTTGCAAGTGGAATCTTTCTGTCTATCATTTTTAGTGGTTGCAGATATTCAAATATTTTACTTATTTATGGTTAATAAATATAGCTCCGTTTGATCCTCATTAAATTCAATTATATTACATTTTATTTTTTCTCTCTTATTTTCAACAACACAATTTTTCATAAAATAATATTACACGTAAATCGAAAACTTTTTCTTCTTTTTCAACCATTTATTTTTCTAAAAAATATTATTTGTCCCATTTTCATTTTTAGGTAATGGGGTCAAATGGAGTATATTTTCTTTGATTTCAAGAATACTTCAATCTCTTGGTGGTAGGAAATGGTCTTTACATGGAGGAAATGTCTCAATTCATGATTAGGTTTAATAACAGCATTAGAAAATATATTCAATTTAGAATATGTTTGGTACCCATTTTTTGTAAAAAAAAAAAAAAAAAAAGGGATTTTTATTATTGTTGGCAGCCGATTTGTTTGACCAATTCTCTCACATGCTAGTCTAGAATGAGGAAAAAATGGTTAAAAAAATTGATTTTTTTATTTTTTATTTTTCTTTTGGTGAAAAATTTGGAGCAGACAAGCGACTATCTTAATAATCATGCTATCGAGACTTTTGCTCACGAGTTCGATTCCCCCTACTAACACTTTCTCGGTCGAGCTTGTAGCACAGGACTTGCCTAGTGCGGTTTATCTGACTGACATGGTTTGCAAGCTATTGCGTCAGCCCAAGAGTTTACCCAGTGTGTACCCGAAGAGTAGTAGCTATGGGTTCCCTCGTCAAAAAAATAAATGCCTTGGTTATTATTGATTTCTAAAGTTTTTTTATTGACCAATACACATAATAATCGAAAGCAAAATGTCGCTTCATTTTTCTCATTTTTTTTTAATTTTTCATCGACGTCTTCTTCTTTTTTTGTTTTCCTTCACATATATCTTTCTAAAATAATTAGTTTGACAAAAAAAATGTTAGTATCTTTGTATGTTTTGGTTAATTTGATGAATTTATTGCAAGCCAAACATTAACACAAAATGTTTCTTGCTATAATTGTATCAAGAAAAACTGTAATTTACTAGTCTCCTTGAGAAAACTGTTTGGTACAAGAAAATTTCAAACTTATGGTTCTTTTAAAACCTAATCTGTGACAACATTTTTTTGTTTCTGTCATATGAAGTATGAACAGATGCTTCATACACCAGAACCTAGGCCAGTTGCTTCTGATCCTTTCATAATTCTGAGTCTCTTGCAAGTTGACATGAACATGCTGCACAAAACATATGAATAACAAAATGAGTACTCGAGTTTGGGTACGGTAACACAGATTGTATAGTACTAAACAATATTAAAATCAAAAGAAGTTAGTCGGCCTGGTCAAGAGACTTACTCCCATGGAACATCTCCAACAAGCATCAAATCACCATCTTTATCTTCATAAGCTGGTGCATATTCAGATCCTTTGTAGCCTTCCCTTTCTGAATACTCCCCTGTTGATGTACAACAAAACCATACATTCATTAGAACAACTAGAGAAATAACAAAAGGGGAATAAGGGGCTCCATCCATGCTTTCAAATAATATTTTACCTATAGTGAGTTTGAACATGTTTTCCAAAGCCTTGAGGAGTTCTTGATATCCCTTGTAAATTTTCAGATCTATTTTTCTGAGATAAGGGGCTCCATCCATGCTTACTTTTACAAAATTCCCAGTTTCAGCTTCTGTTTTTTTGGGTTGGACAACGTTTTTTCGGAAGGACCTCACCGGTGGCCAGCCAACAATCTGCGACCTGCGTACATATATCATGTTAATAGTTGTTCATGTTCAGTACGAGAGTTATGTCCACTTTGACTCTATAAATTTTCAGTAAAATAAAGAATTAAAGTACAAGTGACCTTGAACATCTCTATTTCGAAGACAGCATCCTATAATTCTTTACCTAGCAGGAATATTAGGGATACCTGATAAATGTAACGAATACTCGATATTGACTTACTTGGATGCAGGTACAGTTTCACCATCTCGGGCTTTGGCATCGGACTTTCCATTTAATAATTCGCTGTTCTTAACCAATTCATTCGCGGTTCGCTTGTTATTCTTAGAGGTAGATTCATCTGTGCCTGGCAATCCCAATCTGAGTTCAGTTGCCTTCAAATTTAGGTCATTTCCATGGCTCATTACACCTTCCATTTCCCAAATCCTTGAATTTTTCTCTGAGGACTGTTACTTGGAGGGGTCAATAAATGCTTTTGCTGATACGGGTTTTGTGGGAGAAGTGTTAAAAACACAAACCAAAGGTGTTTTATATTCAAGTGAAGAAATTAAGGATTTATTTGTTTGAATCAAGTTCATGAATTTGGGACAAAAGAAAGTAAGGGTGCCGGCAGAAAAAGCAGCAGCTTTAAGGCAAGTGCTCCTACATTCAGGGGACAGGAGTGGGACAAGCTCAGCCGCCCATATAGAATACCATTAAGAGGAATCAAAGTAGAAACGGTCAAGCTGTGTTTTGGGGGTTGTGGAAGTTAATTCGGGTGCGGTGAACATCTTTTTCTCGATTAGATATGACTTCGAGTATTTCTAAGTTGTGCAAGTTAAATCAAGTGTGGCAAACATCCTTCATTTCGAGTGGATGTGATTTTAACTATTTATGGTGTGATAGTTAAGTCAGATGTTGTAATTATCATTTTTTCGATTGGGTATTGACTTTGATTATTTCAAGATGTGAAAGTTAAGTAAAAGAATTATTATTCTTGTACAATCGGAGTTGACAATCTCAATTGACAGTGTACTCACATAAGGGGGGACCCATGATTTTTTTATTCAGTGTGGGTCCCCCTCGCATGTGTCTAATTGTCAATCGTGGTTGTTAACCTCGATTGTACATATAGCACAATTGGATTGGGTATGATTTCAACTAATTTGTGTTGTGGGAGTTAATTTGGATGCATAGAACTTTTTTGTTTCAATTGGGTATGACACCAACTATTTCAAGGTTGGGGAAGTTATTTCAGGTGGGTGAACATCTTTTTTTTATTGGATATGACTTTGACTATTCCATAAATTAGGTTGGGTCTAGATCAACGTATTTTGTTAGTTAACCTATATCACAGAGTGGCCACGTTTGCAAGCAAATTGAAATTAGTGATCGGACTGCACTAAATTGAAGATGAATGACCTGGATGACACTCCACTCAAACTTTGGCAACCTTTAATGCATTTAACCGTTTTTAATTCACAATTTTCACGTTCGGAAAAACATCGAACAAATTACGTGCAAGTAGTTTCAAAGATAAAACTTTGTCACGTTCACTGTTTTGACCCCTAGTCTTCCTTCCGTTCTCATACTCATGCGACTTTCAAGAAGTAAGGTCATAATCAATCAAAATCATGAGTAATCTTCAAGAGTAAATTTTAAAAACAAACTAGCTAAAGATATACGATCCAACATTTAACACGCGCGCGCACTAATTTCTTCATCGTAATTTCTTGTTATTACTTCATGAAAAAACAAACCAGTACAATGTTGGACCACCTTTTGCTGTCCATGGTTGTGTTGGGATATCCTTGTTTCTTTCATTATTGATTAAACTAAATGCAAAGTTAGCTAGAATTTGAATTTGCCAGATTCAGCCAGCCAGTGATACACAACAAACAAATTGACAGAACATCATCATGTTTAATTTAGGTGCCACATTTGAGTTTCTTGTCCACAAAAGTTTTCAAGGTTTGGTTTTGAAATGACTCAGCAAGTGGAGTTGAAATCAAGTTTTGAGTTGGCATTTGTGTAGGCAAGATTTGACCGTGCACCGAATCAAACTGTGCTTTAAAATTAAATAGAAAATTAGACATAATCATTAGGTGCGAAATATACCAAATTTTGAACAAGGTCACTGAGGAAATTTTTACATTGAATACAAAACCCTTTAATCATCTTGCTTCATAAAGTATTAGCCACTTTATATTAAAGAGATTCATATGATAAAAAGTGATTTGTAGTGAAATTATAACCCCACATAATTTCTTATGTTCAAAGTTCACATTGCTTTCACGTAGGAGGGTCGACGTTGAGTCCGACATATATAAGTTAATCTTGAAATATGATAACCCATGACTTGACATAGTCTATCCTACATCTGATTTCTTAAACCCAACTTACACTCTTACCAAGATAAATTAGCTTATATTGCTCGACACGTCTCATCTCGTCTCATGCTTGAGCAGTTGGATCATTTAGGAGAGTCGACTTCAAGTCTAGACATAATTGTGACATATAAATATAACTTTGAAGATCTTACATGGTATGGTCTATACAGAGATTCGATAACTGACAGCTTGACATGATCTACTATACACATAAATTGTTGGAAAAAGTTGATTGTACAACATTTCTTTTATAGGTTTTTTCACAACCTCCTCACAAAGGTAAGGTCCTCGATTATTTTAATTGTGGACCCAACTTATTGCATGTGTGTGTGTTGTAGACCATACCATGAAAATTGATGTGCCCATTGCATGTTTTCTAAATTGTTCAACCTAACTTACAATATGACTGAGATAAATTAGCCATAGTACTCGACGTGCATCTATCAATTGAATCATTGGATCCTATTTACATCTTTCCCCAAGAAAAATTGTTGGGAAATGTCACTTGTATTCTCTTTCTTGACTTGACATGATTGACATTGTGTATGTGTTAGCAAGTGTTAGTTGGATGAAAAAATTGTCAAAAATTTAAATTGTTCAATGATTTGTTGCTACGCGGCATAATGTAAAAAAATATGTAGAAGATAATATATATATGTAGCATGATTGAAAATTGTTGAATGTACCCAAAAATGAGTTGTAACTTTAGTAAATAAAATTTTACAATCATGCTTGTTATTTTACATTATCTTTACACTTTTGCTACATGTCATTACATCACTGGACAGTTTAAAAATAAATAAGTTTTTTCATCCAATCAATTCTTGACAACATAGATGATGTCAATCATGATGTAAAGAAAAATATGTATAAGTGGCATAATTCAAAATTTTAATCATCATGATACCCAACACGCATTGTATTGGGAGAAAAACTTTGGTGAAGGGTTCACACCATCCTATGTAGTGCAATTGTCGAATGAGGAGTCACCATCTCATTCGGTGGCCTACCTCTACCCAGTGAGATGAGGTCACAATTTTCAATGTGGCCCACTTCATTAGGTGAAAATAACCATCCGATGAGATGGTGGCTCTCCGTTCGACGATCATATCACATAAGACGGGGTGACCCGTCACACCTAAGTTTTTCTCTAGTATTGGACGAGTAGGGTCTAAATTCACAATGAGTGTATAATTGGTGGTTGTTGTTATTGCTGTTTTTACTTTTTACTTTTTATGTGGCCACCAACCCATGATATCCGGGAACAGGACGGCATGCTGCAATAACCTCGAAATGTTGCCTGGCTTCTGGTTATCACAAACTTTGCAAATTAAAGTAGTTGATCTTGCCACGTCCTTACCCCAAACACCATATATTTATATTTAGTGTTGACCTGATTTTTTATAAGATAGACTATACAGCATTATGTACATGGTAACGAAAAAATATATACGACTTTTAGTTTAATATTTCTACTTCATAAATGTGATTATTGATAAAAATTTAAGGCACATTTCATTGCAAGCATATAATTTGTATAGAAAGAAATCAGTCTTAGATAATTCAATTGTCTAGAACTTATTTGTATGAAAATTATTAATTTAATGTGTTTGATTGATACTTGTCCATTTTTTATTGGTGGGGATGAGAGAGTGAACCACCTGACAAGTAAATATCTCCCCTCTCTAAAGACAATATTTTCCTTGTTTTTTGAGAAAAATATGATCACTTGATCAAATGTTGAAAAATATTTTTCATGAAAAATTTGTCAATCAAACACTCAAAAGTAAGAATTTGAATAAAAAAATGACTTTTTTTTCATGAAAATTAAAGTTAATCAAACATACTCATATTGAATTATCAAATTAGTCAGTCTCGGATTACTTTCCCCTCACAAATTATCATTGATCACAAATTATTGAATTTTTAGATTACATATTAAATGTGGTCACAAATTAACTAAATAGTTGGTTATAAACACCAAACACCCAATCCCATCCCAAATCCTCCCATCGATGCCTACTTGAGTTACAATCAACCAAATAGTTGGTTACAAACACTTTTCATCCCACTCCCACCCTAATCCCACCGCTGGAACCAATAGTTGGGGTAGGATGTGAGTATATAAATTAATTTATAACATAATTAATAATATTAAAATATGGAATGGTCACCTGATTTTTGGTTATAAAAACTTTGTATCTTATTTTTGAATTGCTATCTTTAAAAACAGGCTGGTATGTAATTAATAAGAATGTACTGTAAATTGATGAAGTGGAAAAAAAAAATGTATTAAGGTACAAGTTAATTAATTGTTGAAATCCAACTCTAAAAAAATAAAAATACTTGCATCGATAATCTGGTTAAAATTTTAAAATCAGATTATATATATATATATATATATATATATATAATCTAATCGATGATCCCCACTATGGGATCCATTGTCCCAACTTCAACCAACATTTGGAATATATTATTTTGTACTAAAGATTCTCATATATTGCATTAAAAGTGAGATTTTGACATTCAACTGGATTAATTACTAATCTATGTAGTATTCATTAATAAATATTTTATAAATACTCGATCCTGAAATTTCTCAAAATAGGTACTCAATTCGGTTCCCTTGCAAATTAACTACGCCAATGTTTGACAAAGTTTTTTGAAATTCTACACTGATTGTACTTTATTTTTAAACGCATATTTCATTGAATCAACAACTTTTATCTATTTTTAATCATATGTTTTATGGGAACCGACCAACTTATAATTTCAAAAAACTTACTCAAACATGAGCAAATTTTGTTCGGATTTAAAAATCCATTGGAAATACCTCTCCAAGAGTAATGTTATGTAACACTATGAGTGCTCACCACCAATTAAAGTGGCAATGTACTACATTGACTCATTGTCTTCTAAAGTTGAAAATGCATTTTGATTCATTCGACAATACATAATTCTTGAAGTCCATTGTCACCTATATGAATGCTAAATAACATAGTGCTACATAACATTATAATAAACCCAATGATATATCTCCATCAACCCAATATTCTTTATTATTGGATTATCAACTCAAAATGATTTCATTTTTTCATACTAATTCAATTTTCTAATAATCTTTGATTTTATTGTGTAACGTCATTAGTGTATCTAGAATTGCGACCTGCTTTGTCAACAATCTATTTGAGGGCTTCAGCAAGAGATTTTTTCGATCGCTAAAGCTCATTTTTAAGTTGTCATATTCTTTTCTAGGTAAAGAAGTTTGTAGATTGTAAAGTGTTTGTTTGACATAGATTAATCGATAATAATTTTTTTTCACTCTCATTTTCAACCACAAATTAAAAATAATAATAATAGTAATTCATATTTCCCTTCAAATAAT